GTCCAATAGCTGCTTGTTTAGCAGGCTTATTGGAAGGTATTGCCTTCATGGATAAAAAATGTGTAATATAGTGACCATCATGTTTAGAAGTAACACTAATGCGTTCTTCTTTAACAACCCTTTGATGAAATTGTTTTGTTACAGGGTTAAACTTTAAAATTCTGTTAAAATCTTTTCTGCCAACAGCAAATATACCTTTGATGGGTTGTAATTGAATCTTTATTTCTTCAGATGTCTTTGCTTTAGTCATTACTACTATTCTAGCTCTAACAACTTTCTTAGTATCCATGTGTTGATGCGTAATTATTAAATAAGTTATAAAAGATAATAATTTTAAGTATAAATGAATTAGTAAATAAAAAAAATTAGTTAGTATGTATATGTTAATTGTATGATATATTTTCTAGATTGGTGAAATGGACAATAATACTAACTGTGCACACCCTGAAAATTTGGGGTCTTAATACCAACAAAACATCCCATCAAAGCCCTTTTAACCAATGATTCTAGATGTCAATAAAAACAAATATTGATAAAAATTAAAATCGTGGATAAAAATTCAAAGGAGTTATTAGGGTTTGAAGTTTCAGTCTTATAATCCAACTGGGAATGAAGGGAATTTAATTTTTTTTTAATTTTTACAAAACGCTTTTTGGCAAAGAAGCATAAAGTTTCATTTATTATTGAAAAAAGATATGATTTTATCATGCTGATATTATTATTGATGCCAAATTGTTGGTTTGCCACATCCTTAATTAAGAGCGCGCGCATTTACAAGCAAAACGCCGGGTGGAAGTGAAACTCTCAAAATGACTACGTTTATCAAAGACCACAATGAGTACAGGTAGTCAAAAACTAAAGGTAAATAAATGCATCTATTGATGAAACAAAATCAAACCGAGGTTCAAAATCACACGAATCCGTCAGCAGAAAAGAAATGTACAGTTTGCTTATCCGTGGTTGCGCGTGGTCTACCTCATCATTGTACTCAAGGGACTCGAAACTTGAACTTAAGAACATTAGTAATGGCAGATCACATTGGGGCAGAGCAGATAGCATTATCAGAAATTTCATCAAAAGATGCTTTATCAAGTGGCACAGTAAGAATTTGAAAATCTCAAGGAGCACAATTGGCAGAGAGAAAAGGTACTCAAAGTTTCAAATAATTTTGTCAAAGTTTTTTTATTTTATTGTATTGAATTGTAGTAGATGCTGTAGCCGCCCGAAGACGACGAGTATGTGTAATAATATCACACTTAAACAGCCGTGTCAGTATTAATTTAATTTAAAAGGAGCCAATCGTCTAATTGTGCTTTAAACCTGTTTACTGATTTTGCATTAACCACCTCTCTTGGTAGTTTATTCCATGTTTTTGTTATTCTGTTAGTAAAGAATGAGTGGCTTAAGTTGTACTTTGTTTTTTCGCGTTCAAACCTGACACCGTTTCCTCTCGATAATTGAAAATCATTTGGCTTGAAACCGTTAACAAACTCCACATTTTCAATCTTGTTTAATAACTTATAAGTCTGGATCAAATCTCCACAAATTCTGCATTCATATAATGGGGTAAGGCCAAGAATCTCCAGTCATTTCACGTATTTCATTTTTGCGAGAGTAATTCTAAGTTCAAATCAAAAATAATTTTTGATTGACATTATTTTACTTCAAAGGATCAACAGCAGCACGTCAACAACTTTTTCCCAATCCTCTGAGCACGCAAGATATGGTTTCAATTCAACAAAATACAAGGCTTTCAAACACAGGAATGAAGATACTTGGATCAACTCTCAATCAAATAAGACCTGTAAGACTTGTGGAATCAAACTTTCAACAAAAACTTGCAGAGGCTGGCAAACTATTGAAAGAAAATTTTACATTGAGCAATCTTCAACTGACAAACAATGAAAAACGTTACGTTACTTGTTGTCATGACCTTCATCAACTAAAGCAGGTTGTTGGAAATTCCAGGTGTCTTGATCAGGACACAATTCTCAAAAATTGAAATAGATGGAGGTGGCTCATTTTTGAAAGTGAGTCTTTTTGACATGAAAATCGATAAATCTAAGCTTAAAAGCCCCATTTAAAAGTATGCAAAGCTGTGTTAATAAGAAGGCCTCAAAAGGACATGTGTTAAAAAGCAGCTAATAGTAGCAGTGGCAGAAAATACACCAGAGACATATGAAAATGTAAAGCCAATTTTTGGTTTGGCATTTTCATATGTCTCTGGTGTATTTTCTTTGAGCAGTTGAATGGGTCAACTCAATCCACATTCCACTGTTACCCTACCAAGGAGGCCATTACAATGGCAATAATTGCATGAAGCGTTTGAAGAAATTGGATGAATTGAAAAATATTTTTGAATCAGAGAATGCTTTACAAGCAGTAGATTCTGTAACTGTTTGGCATCTTTTAAAGATGTCGTAACCGCTTGCTTTGGCTGCTCACTTAACCCTGATATTGAGTTAAAATTAAAAACGTTTTTTTAATGTGTGACTGAAAAAATTTTACACCAAAAACTCATGCAGTTTTTTTTCACGTGCCACAGTTCATCAAAATGAAGAAAATGGTCCTTCGACTCTTCAGCGAGCAAGCTACTGAGACAATGCACTCCTATTTCAAAACACATTGGGAGAGATGAAAATAAGAAGCTTCCCATCCTGATTACCAAAAACAACTTTTAAGCTGTATTGTTAATTTCAACAGCAAAAAATTTTTGCTATTGAATCTATTATTAAGTTTGAAAAATGTTGAAGTGATACTTGAGAATATTATGAATAGTTTTGAATTGAAAATCTTGCTAGAAATAAATTAAAATCTATTATTTTTGAATGGAAATTATTATTTTGATGTCAGGAAAATATAATTCTTATGGATTAATTATTTTTCTTTCCTTTTTGAGCCTTTTTACACTTCATGCACTCTACAAAAAAGAACTGCTATGAGCAAAAAAATACAATTTTATAGAGAGTGAACATCTCTTGGATTTTGATTCTAAATTTTAAAATTACTAATTTTAAGTATTGTTAAGCATCTATTTTATGTGGTCACATTCCATTAAAAGGATTTTGGGATGTTTTTTGGTATTAAGACCCCAAATTTTCACGGTATGTGTGGTAAAAACAATAATGAATATCAAAATGTGAATACTACTTTATTTGACGTCTACCTGGTTGTAAAGATACAGTTGGAGGTACAATCCCACTTAAAAATGGTCTTGATATTTTTTTGGATTGAATTTGTTGTATTGATGGTTCTTTTTAATTTGCTGAGGGTTGAAGTTACTAATTATCAAATTTATATATACTATTTTTATTAAATAGTTTATATCGAATAATAAGTATTTAAGTTGTTATATTTTATGTAAAAATTGTTTTCTTAATCTATTTCATTTGTTTATCACTATATGTGTATCACTTATAGTAAGATATTTCTTGTAATTTTTTGTTTTATTTATTTTCCGTATGTTTATACATATACATGCATTAAATATTGTAGTGAAGTCAAATTCTAATGTCTTAAGTGCATTATAGCTATTATTTTTTAAAGTTTTATAGGATTCAACAAGATTTAAATTTAGTTTTGTTTATTGATTTTATTTTGCGAAAGCGATCCCATAGATTAAAAGAACTCAATAATATTAGCGAGTTGCGTGATGAAATTTGCTTTTTATGGTTTTATATGACAATTGAAATTGAATTAGATTTAAAAAATTTGAAAACAAAAGATGCCATTTTACCATGAAAAACCCATAGAAAAATCGTTATGGTTCATTGAATTTTCATTGGTATTTGGAACACCTTTCGATTAAAAAGTCATGGTTTTTTCATAGAAAATCGATGGGTTTTTTCATGGAAACGCTTTCCATAAATTTTTTCATAGATTTTCCATAGAAATATTTTGTACGGGAAAGAATATATATATATATATATATATATATATATATATATATATATATATATATATATATATATATATATATATATATATATATATATATATATATATATATATATATATATATATATATATATATATATATATATATATATATATATATAAATTAAAAAATTTTGAGAAAAAATTTTGCTAAGTGATTTTCTACTAATTTGTAATTGCTCTGTTCTTTTAAGAACATTGAGCACTCTTTTTGTAGAATACATTTTTAATTGTTTAAATATATATATGTATATATATATATATATATATATATATATATATATATATATATATATATATATATATATATATATATATATATTATATATATATATATATATATAACAATGTTTAAAAAATGAGTACCTGCGCATACTTAGAGGAAAATGGTTTATCTAAAAGGGCCCAAATCTTAGGTCGATACATTTCGATAGTTGAATTCCAACAACTTTCATTTTCGTATCCATTTACATTGCAACTAACTTTTCTCATGTTAAGTTCTTCTTTTAAATTTGTACTTTTAACCATGTCGTCAAACATTTTTAAGTTTTTGTGAGCGTCACGATGCTGTGTGTAGTTTCCCCAACAACAAGGTTCCATCATTAGTTCATCAACACCCCAGAACTCAAGTTCCTAATAAACAAAAATAAAATCCTAACATACCAACCTAACACCTATTTAAGCAATTTCCAACTTCAAAGTACACCAACCAATGAAAATATTTTTAGATTTCTAACTGTTTTAGTTAACATCTGTTTAATTGATTTCCGAGCATTTTAGCAAATTTCAAAAATAAATGCAAACAATGCTTTGAGATTATAGCGCAAAAAAGCAAAACATTAAATAAGAATTTAATGTCTGCCCTACCCAGCTAACACACATACGTAGATAAAAAGTTAAAACAATATTTCAAATTGCGTAGGCCCAACTTTATCTAATGTTATTTTGATATAATTTTGATTGCAAATGCGACGTAGCTAACAACAAAAAAACAACGTTTTTTTTTTTTAACGTTGTATTTTAAGATGGCTCAATGTTGCATTTAATGGCTATATATATATATATATATATATATATATATATATATATATATATATATATATATATATATATATATATATATATATATATATATATATATATATACAGAGACGATTTTATGGAGAGGGTGTGGGGATAATCTGACACAATCACTCGGTAAATTTTCGTTTTGAAGACCGTTTTTTTTTGTTCTTAATTCAATTAACTGTATTTAATACTTTTCTTGTTATATTGAATAAGCAATCAAGTGAATAAAATCAAGGTTCACAATTTTTTTACGGATGAACCAGCCGGAAGTGAAAAAACATTTACATATAAATTGATGAAATTAGCAGTGTTAAATCTACTACAGCAGCATGGATTGACATAGCAACAACTCTTCTTACAGATGGATCTAAATTACATGGTTTATTTAATCTTACTCTCGCAATATTGAAACAGCACATGTAATCTAACTCCTAATTCTATTCGTGGCAAGTTAGTTTGTTTTTGCTTAATTTCGACATTAATAAATCCCTAAATGCTAAAGTGCAATTTATAGGTTGTTAAAAGATGCTTGCATCAATAACTTTACTATTAGAGGGAAACTCTTTTTGGTGGTGTCTTTGGACAAATACTGTGTGTTGTTAAATAAGGTCTACCAATAATGAGGAATGATGTTTTTCCACATAGCTATTAAAACTTGGAAGTGAAAAAATAACTGTTAAAGAGTAATATCTATTGTTAAAGAGGAACATGTATTGAAATACCATATAAGGGCATCGTTAGAGAAAATGAGTTAATTGTTCAAAAGATGCTAAACAAGATGGTATGCTAAACGATTCATTTTATTACAAACTAATATGTTATAACGAATTGTTAAAATGAAAAAAAATTATTGCTTTTTAATGAAGAAGGGCTTGAACGTATGCCGGGATTGGTTGAAACTTATTGAAGCGCTGATGAAGTTGAGACTGAAACCTTAATGAAATAAATAAATTTGATTTGAGTTTTGAACAATATCACTCCTTTCTTTCAGTCTAACTATTGTTAAAATTTAAAAATTGAACAAAAATTATGTCACTTAGAATTTAGATCTTTAAGCTGGGCTTTGTAATGCCACTCGTATGGAAGTTTGAACTCAATAATTAATTATATTGGTGTAATGGTTTTGACAGGCGCTTCTGGTAGTATATGGATATTTATTTCTAATTTCAGTTTAATCCATCATATTCTAGTTTACCATTTGTTCTAAAACTTCATCATTTGTTATTTCATTGAAATATTCAATGACGACCAATAAAAGTCAAGGTCAAACGTTTAAAAGAGTTGGTTTATACCTAAACAACCATGTTTCTCTATGTGTTGCATGTTCAAGAACTAGAACGTTCAATAGTTTATTTTTCAAAGTTGAAAAACTTTTAAGCCATTCAAGGTGTGGTAGGTAAAAAATGTTACACAAATAATTTTATATTTTATAATGTAATTTTTTATGAACTTGTTTTTTCAAATTTATAGTTTGCTTGCACAAATTGTTTGTATGACTTTATATATTAATTGTAATTTTTGTTTATAACTTGTACTTTTTATTTATTTAAACATTAATTTATTGCATTATTTAACTAATTCCGTGAAAAACTCATTATTAAAAGTACCAATATCATAAAAATTAAAATCTTGTAATGATATTGGTACTTTTAATGTGGTATTCAGTAATTTGCTAAATATTCACGCCCCTCTTAAATCAAAAACCTAAGAGATAACAATAAACCTTTTATAACTAAAGACTTACAAAATGCAATTATGCTCCAATCTTCATTATATAAAAAAATTTTTATTTGATAAATCAGATTTTTCAGCTCTAATGTACAAAAAACAAAAAAAATTTGGTGGTTAAGCTTAACCGTAAAAAATAAAAAGACGTACTTTGAGCAAATCAATACGCTTTCGTCTTCAAATACTTTTCTCTGGAAGCTAACTAAGTCTTTCTTTTTGAAAAAATCTATAAATTCTATCTGGGGTATCACTTTAACTGAAAATGGCAATATTATCTCCGACAGTTCTTTGTTGATAAATATTTCTAATAACTATTTCATAAATATTGCATTGCCATCAAGTATGGCCGACCATATTAAGTGGTCTTTTTCTTCTTGCACTTCAGACCCAGTTGAGTCATCTATTAAAAAGTATTTTGACCATCCTAGTATAATAAACATAAAGAATAAATTCAAAATGAATGTACATAATTTCAAGTTCCATTGTATTACACTTGATGATATTACAAAAATTATAGGGTCTATAAATAAAAACAAAAACAAAATAAAAACAAGTGGTGAAATGCCAACTATTATATTAAAATGTTACTTAATACACTTTAGGGATAGTCTTACAGATTGTATTGATATTAGCATCTTAGATGGAACATTTCCTTCATTTCTAAAAATGGCGGATGTTTGAGCGTGTCTTAAGAAAAACGACCCAACAGATAAGGCTAACTATCGCCCTATAAATATTTTACCCGTTCTCTCCAAAGTTTTTAAAATGATCGTTTATGAATAGATTTTGTTATTTATGGAGCCAAAATTTAACAAAATTTTGTGTGGTTTTTGTAGAGGTACTCAGCATAATACTCTTTTAATTAGAAGAAAGTCTTCTCTAAAAAAAAAAAAATGTTGCGTCACAAAATCAAAATTCCCTCCCCCTCGTAACAAATCGCCACAAAATTGTCTCCCCCTTCCCTAAACGTTACAACCCCAAAGCTAATGGTAAATGTTTTGCTCTTTCACGCATAAGAAATTTTTTATCCCGCAATAAAGCAACCTTGTTGTTTAACGCCTTCATAATGCCAAACTTTTCAGATTGTCCTCTAATTTGGATGTTTTGTTCTAAACGCTATGAAATAAAATTATAAATAGAATTCATATAAAAACTTTTTTGATGAATTTTATTTATAGAATTTAGAGAAAAAAAGAATTATAAATAGAATTCATAAAAAAGCTTTTTGTATTGTCCATAAAAGGTTTGGTATATCTCTTGATCAGTTAATAAATTTTGATTATAGCCCGAGAATCCACGTTTTCTTATGATAGAAGTTTTTGAATTAACTAATTGTCTAAATCCAAAATTTATGAAGGATTTATTCAATACAAAAAACCTTCCTTTTAAATTTCGTTGTAGCAAAAAATGATTTTACCTTCAAATGGCTCCAAATATAAGGGTATATGTTGTACTATATTTAGAGCCATCTCGTTATGGATCACTCTAGATAATAAGACCATGCCCTATGAAAGTTCTTAGGTGTTGGAAAAAAATATCAAAAATTAGCATGCAAAAAAATTGTTATTGTAAAGTTTGTCATTTTTAACTACTACTTTTATTTATATTTATAGTACAATATTTATTCATTTTTTTGTAATGAAACGGTTGTAATTTGAATAATTTAATACAATTTGTAGTTTATATTATAATCTTGTAAATTGTAGTTTTTTTTAAATATTTTTTAAAAATATAATCGTAAATTGACTATATATATGTGGACATTTTTTTTGTTACGATTTTCATGTAAGTGCGTATTGTCTATAATTGTTAAATGTGTTGATTTTAATTAGTTTTATTCTTGATAAAACTATTGTAACCATCAACAAAAAATAAAGTTTTTAAATTAAATTAAATCAGTTACATGATTTTTATAAAAAAGATCTAATATTAATTTAAATATTAATAATTAATTTTAATATTAATAAAATTTGAAATAAAATTCCAAAAGTTGGATTAACGAAGAAACATAAACTTTGAACGATTGAATAAATAATATACTATGTTTTCTTTACAAATTTCTTTATATTAATGATGAACTTAGTAGTAGTAGTGCCCACTCATGCGTGTTTGATTCGGAACTCTTGGCAGCCATTAAACCCGAGGTAATAGGGAGAAAGAGAATCTCAGCACGTTTTTATAAGGAAGTATAGGAAACTTGTATACAGATATGTAAATATATATGTAACAGCGTAATTTAAAATTACGCAAATGTGAAAATTACCTTTGGACAACGTAATGTGCCAACGACTGTAAGTCTTTACTTTTTTAGCATAATTGTGTTTGTGGGTAGTATAACTTGTGTTTGCCGGTCGTATATGGAACGATCGTGTATAATATATAAATAATATGAGAAAATATTTTAACAATTATTAATCTTTTTTGCTATTTATATATATATATATATATATATATATATATACTTTGCTCTCTCTCTCATTCTCTCTCTCTCTCTCTTTCTCTCTCGCTCTCTCTCTCTCTCTCTCTCTCTCTCTCTCTCTCTTATATATATATATATATATATATATATATATATATATATATATATATATATATATATATATATATATATATATATATATATATATATATATATATATATATATATACATACATATATATATATATATATATATATATATATATATATATATATATATATATATATATATATATATATATATATATATATATATATATATATATATATATATATATATATATATATTATATATATATATGTATATATATTTATATATAAATATATTTATATATATTTGTATATTTTTTTATATATATATTTATATATATATATATATATATATATTTATAAGTATATAAAGACTTATATATATATCAAAGATAGATATATAAGTCTCTTATAAGCTTGACATATGCGGAAAAGGTGCGCATTAATTTTCGCTCTTAAAGCAACGTTTTTCTATCGTTTACTAAAAAATATTGCTGTAAATAAAGGATAAGTATAAAAATGTGTCAAATAGATAGGTATAGAAATAGTTGGTTTGATAAAGACCCGTATTTCACTGTTTTAGGGTGGAATGCAAGAAGCGAACTTGAGTCAAGCTCGACTTGAACTTTACATTATAACCAACAGCGACAGAGTATGGGTTTACGCCTCAAAAAATACTCTTCCGCTATTGGTTACAAAATAAAGTTCAAGTCGAACTTGACTCAAGTTTTCTTCTTGCATTCCACCCCTAGGCAGCTAGGATATATATAAGAAAAAAGTATAGAAAAGGTTGATGTGGAATAAACTTGAAAAGACCCGAAATTTCATGAGTTCGGTGAACTAGTATACCTAATTTATAAACAATTATTGTTTTACCATTAAACATTACATTTTTTTACAAAAAATTTAACAAAGGCAACATTGTTACAATAAAATCTAGTTTTTCTTACTTTACCTACTGTTATAACTGAATTAAAAAATTTATTAGTATTTTAAATATATCGAGTAGAGTTAGACCAGAAACTATCCGAACAAGATTATATGTATTTTGAAAAATTTTAGTTTCTGGTAATTGTGTAATGTTATATGTACCTACAAATATATTTGCTGCTATGTTTTACTTGTTTGTTTGATTATACAAAAATTGAAGAAAAATTCAATTAAGATGAGAAACTAAACCCTAAATTAAAACGAATACTAGGCAAAACATAATTAGCATATTTTTTGCTAAATAATTTCTGCGTTTTAGATATATGCAAAGTTTAACATGCGTACTCTTTCCGCTTCTTAGTAAATTACCAGTAGAAGTTATAAACTATTTAAATTTATTCGTAATATCATAGCCAAAATCATTTTCTAATATTAACAAAAATGTATCGAAATACGTTTTACTAATTGTAGAAACCACAGCTTATGTTTGCGATGGTTTTGCATATATTGGCCAAATGTATGTGTATTAGATGGTTATTAACGTAGTCTTGTACTATTATAGGCATTAATTCTCTAAGAACTTTCAGAATTTAAGAACTCTCATTTTACAAATTTTGGTACAAGTCTACAATAGAGTTGAATGCAGAGAAACTGCTCACGTGCAGTGCCGAGAAATGGGAATACATTTTTAATAGAAAGCCGAATCAAAATTATTATTTAATTTTATAGACTGCATTATACTTGTTAATGAGACTTAAGCTGAAGTGGGTAGATTTGTTACCAGAAATGTTTTACATTCATGTAAAACTTGCATTAAACAATTAATGCTTTTAGTCAACATAAAAAGTCAATTTTACACAAACATATACAAATAATATTATTAATGATAATAAATATATATGTATATTTATATATATATATATATATATTTATATATATATATATATATATATATATATATATATATATATATATATATATATATATATATATATATATATATATATATATATATATATATATATAACATATAATTTATGATAAACTATAATAATATAATTAATAATAATAATAATAATAATAATAATAATATATATATATATATATATATATATATATATATATATATATATATATATATATATATATATATATATATATATATATATATATATATATATATATATATATCAGGGGCGGATCCAGCATTTTTAGGTCGTTGAGATAGCTAATTTCCTGACATGGAGCAAATTCCAAACATTTATATTTTTATACCTATTAAAAATTGCAATGATTGGAGCCTAGGAACAAAAAAGCCCTTAAATTTTAGCTACACCTGCCCCAAACGTCAGAGCAACAAGTTGATAAAATATTTTTTCTACTATTTTTAACTAAGTATATATACATAAATTTTAAAACTCACACAATAATCTATAAGCGTTCAACAGTTATGGCCTTATAAAATTTGCAACCATCTCAAATTGAGAGACTAAATCTATATTCATCGACAAATTTTAAAATTCACACAAAAATCTTTTAGCGTTTAAAAACTATGACAATAAAAAGTTTTAATATTAAAACTTTTTATAAAAATAAAATAGTTTTAATATTAAAACTTTTTATTGTCATAGTTTTTAAGCGCTAAAAGATTTTTGTGTGAATTTTAAAATTTGTCGATGAATATAGATTTAGTTAAGAATAGTATAAAAATTATTTTATCAACTTGTTGCTCTCACGTTTCGGGCAGGTGTAGCTAAAATTTAAGAGCTTTTTTGTTCCCAGGCTCCAATTATTGGAATTTTTTGTAAAGCATCCTTATTTGATATAAGTATAAACATATAAGTTTTTGGAGTTTGCTCCATGTCTGGAAGTTAGGTATCTCAAACATCAAAAAATGCTGCATATATATATATATATATATATATATATATATATATATATATATATATATATATATATATATATATATATATATATATATATATATATTATATATATATATATATATATCTTTATATATACCGTCTAGGTATATATATCGTCTAGCAACGACTCGTTGTTTTTGTGGCGTTTATGAATTATTTTATATATAGAAAACTTAACATTCAATTTTTATTTTTTATTTTCAAAATTGTTTTATAATTTTTTAAACATTTAACACTCCGAAGGAGATCGTTAGGCAGCCAGTTTTATAATGTTTTTTTTTTAATTGAAATATTTCTTAATACCTGTTGAAAGAGTGGTCCACAAACATCATTGGGGCAATGTAACTTTCCAGTTCGAAAATAATTTAATATGTTTTGAAAGCAACCTGGATGACGATCAAAAAAAAACTCATTGGATTCATAGTCAAAGTCCTTATTTTGCATAGCTGCTTCAGCAATCCAATACAAGCGCGTATCTGGAAAAGCTTTTATAGTTTCTATAAAACATTCATGCTTGACTCCTCCTACATTTATTATGACTCTATCATTTGTTCGTTTTCTTTGAAGGTAAATGTCATGAGCGTTGCTCCGTTTGGTCATCTTAGTTATTATTCACGTAATTTTTCCCAAGACATTATGTTAAAAAAAAAAAAAAAACTTTGAAAAAAAAATAGTCTTTATAACAGAAATATAAATAAAAAGGCTATGCCAAAATGTTTTCTACAATAAAAACCGAACATTTTAATTTTTAAAAGAACAGTTTTACTTGGCTAAAATCAATCTCACGTGGTTTTTAATAAACCTCTATTTAACTAAAACTTTCGTTGAATATAGAAGCATCTGCTGATTCCTTAAAAACAAGTTACAGAAAAATTCTACCAAAATGTTGTTCAGTTGAGATAACAAAATGAATAACGATAGTTATAATAATCAGTTAATTAAATACCTTATAAAATACATATTAAAATCCAAATCTTTGAACTGTATACCTAATGCAAATGTATTTGTTATAGAATTTTTAATTGTTCATATAAAATCAATCCAAATAGGTGGTAAAAATAAACTCTTTTCTTTTTTTTTTACTCACTCATTTTACTGACGTATGAGCAACGTACATCAATTGTATTTACAATTTATAAAAGCATTGAATTTTTATTTTTATTTTTATGATGCAGCATGAATAGCATTAACAAACTTAAAATTTAAGGAAACTTTATATTGTTTTTTTTTTTCATATAACATGAATGGCATAAATAAAGTTTAACTTTTTTTTGAAATAATGATTTTACACATAGCTTTCTCCGATGCATAAATAGTTGTAGAATACGTAGAATATACTAAAGTAATATTGCATTAAAGTATACTTAGAATTATATATTTAGAATAGAAGTAAAAATATGCAAAGGTTTGTGCTTCAGAAGTAATGTTTTAAGTATTGATGTGAAAAAAATATTTTTGCTGCAATAGAGTAAATTCTTTTCAGACATTTACTAAGAAATAAATAGAATATTGACAACGAAAAATGAATGACATTATTTAGAAGGTATTGAATAGAAAGATTAATGAAAAATATAGAGGTTTTAATATGTATGAGCATAATTAATTAAACATAAACCTCACCATGATTTTTTTGTTTCTGTAAACAAAGAGCAAATAAAGAAAAAGGAAATTTTTAAAAAAGTATTTTGACTACAGAAGTCATAATAAAAAAATTATTTTTCTTTTGCTAATACTTATTAAAATTTAACAAATGTAGACCTAAAAGAATATAAATTTGGCTTATCAACCAAAAACAATAGGTATATTCAACTTAATATGAAAAAAGTTAAAATACATTTATTATTAAGTAGTAGAGATATAAATGCTATATTTTTGCTAATATTATAATTAATAATTGGGATCTCAATTAACATTGCTTGGTACAATGTTCACATAATTGTTAGATTGGTGAAATGTTAGCATAATTGCTAGCTTGGTGAAGCACCAATAAAAAACTGAAAACCCTGTAAATAAGATAATATCTAACCAACACACCCAAAACGTTTAACAATCTTTAAATTCTGAATAATTATCAAATAAATATTTATTACATTTTAGTTTTTAATACAAAATTAATATCAAAGCAATCCCAAATACTTTCAAAACATTGTTGAATAAAATACAGCTCAGATTATTAGATATTCAAATAACAATTATATCCACTTTGAAGCCACTACGTTTTTTGCCTCCTTCAGAAGTATGGAATATAGTAATCACTAATAACTTGATTAAACCACATTGCTAGGTTTTGTAAAATAGTAAATTCTATAAATAAGTAAATTTTATAAAAGTATAGCTATTTTACACGAAGCAAGAAGTGTTATGTGATGTGTTATTATTTTATGAACGAAGCAAGAAGTGTTATTGTTTTATGAACGAAGCAAGAAGTGTTATTGTTTTATGAACGAAGCAAGAAGTTTTATTGTTTTATGAACTATGCAAACATTGCTCGTAGTAATTCTACTAAAAACAGAAGCATGTTAGATGGAATTATAATGTTATAGACTAATTATCTCATACCAAGTCTTGTTTATATTTAAGAACTTATTGTCTCGAAGTCTTGTTTATATGAAATGACAGCACATTTTATGTGAAATAATTTTTTTTGTTTAAGCGACTACTTAAAATGTAAAATATACAGGATTATTTAACAATTGAAGAAGACCAGTTGACCATATAGTATCAATAATTAGTTATTTCAAAATCTTGCATTAAAATCGAACAGAATTATTATCATTTTTCTACAACTGATAGTTATCTCAAGTTATAACTACTTATAACTTCTCCCCAAAAAATTATATCACCCTAAAAAGTCTAAATATTAAATAGAAAAATACAGAATTGATTCCTGCATTATTTTTTTTTTTTTTTTAAGATAAAAAACATATTGGCCGTAAAAACTCTTCTCAATAAATAATTATAGCCACACAACATTTTTTAGATTCTTATTTGAGTTTTTTGCGGTCCAGTTCCGTGCAGCTGATTCACATTTTTTTGCTGTTGTAATCAACAACACAGTTTAGGAGCAAAAAAATTAGTCGGGATGAGAAGCATCTCTTTTTTATTTTTCACAATGAAAAGTCTCAGGCTGATTTTTTTCATTATGATAAATTGTTGAACATAATGGAAAACAGTAGAACCCTTAGAGTGAGAGAAACCGAGAGCTTCAGAAAATTGGATTTGAAATCTTTGATATTTAAAACATAATTAGGTGAAAGAGAACCATCAAAAAAACTGAAACAACTTCCTTGAATGAATTCAAAGCACAGCAGAAATCAAGGGCTTCTGAATGACCTTCAGCTTCAGCAAGGAATTTCAGCTCATTTACCTTTTTGAGAAACTTCATGAAATTATTGCCATTGTAGTAGTCACCATAGTAAAGTTAAAGAAGGATGTTAATGGCTGCAAACCAATCTATGGCCTTCAGACATTTTTGTACCAGGCTTTTCACAATGTGATTAATCTCACTAAGAAGTAAATGAAGTTCTATGGGAGAAAGTACTTCTAAAACAGCTGTTTAGTTACAAAAAGTTTTGCCACTTTCAGCAAGTTTTTGCTTAATGTTGGATTTAACTAGTTGTACTGGGTTAATCTGGTTGAGAGCATATCCAAGTTTCCTCACTCCAGTATTTGAAAGCCCTAGATTATAATAAAAATTAGGAAATATAATATTGTACATTTACCTTTTCTTAAAGCCAAGGGTATTCCTTGTGGTTGGCGGCTGATCTGATCTGTTCCTCTTGGTGAAGTATGTTCGAAATGACAGTTGATGCAATCTGCTCTACACTTATTGGGTCTGCCAATGCAAGTTCTCTGAGGGTTTCATGACGTTTTCCTTGTGTACAATGAAGAGGATATCCACGAGCGAGCACAGATAAGCAAGTTGTGCAATTTTTTTCAGCTGAAGAAATTTGTGGACAAGCATGGTTTTCATTAAATTGTAGAGGGTGTTTCTCTTTTCTATTGGTTTTGGAATTTTTGCAGATTAAACAATCACACTGTGCTATTTCCATTGTAATAACTTTTACAACAATGGATTTGAAATTGAACAGAACTGAAAATTTTTTTCACTTGGCTGATTGATCTTGAATCGACAAGTCATGCAAATTCCAGTAGGCACAAGATCGTCTATGAAGCTCACAGTATTTGAGAAAATCTCTGAAATTTTCTTTTAGTAATATTATGTCTATTGCCTTTCAGCTATTTTCATACAGGTTAAGAAGATTTTCTGTAATCTTCATGGTTTTTGACAAATGCAGACATGATGAGAAACGAATTTTTTGACCGCGGAAAAGAAATATTTTTTCCATTGACTTAGACAATAAGTAAGTGATAGATATAAGCAGAGCAAATTTTCTAAGCTCATAAAAATTGATTGAAATTCCGGATAGGTTATTTATAAGTACCTATTCAAAGATTAGTGGGATCAATTATTACGTCGATAATTAAAAACTTGTAAAATATTTCATTTTTAAGAAGTGATATCTATCATTAAATAACGTTCAAATTTAACTTTCTGCACAAAACATCCAAATTAAAATATCTCTATTGGATTTCAAACTATGATTTCAATTTTTGGTGTCATGAGAAATTTATAACATACACAATCATTGGTTAAAAGGATATTTGTTGGGCATTAGGGTCCCAGATTTTCAGGGTGTGTAGAAATACAAGTCGAAAAGTCAAAGCTTCAGAAACAAATGCTAATTATAACTGTTTTACTTTGCAGCAACGACTCTAGAAAAGAAAACAGTGTTCCTACAGTGAAACATGGATATATACATGCATATTATGTATAAATGCATGTTATGTATAAATATATATATATATATATATATATATATATATATATATATATATATATATATATATATATATATATATATATATATATATATATATATATATATATTAATAATAATATGAAACTTAATAAAATAATAGTTCCTCACAATATAAATTAAATTTATGTCACATATAATAATATGGGTAATCCTACAGTTACGCGGCCTAAAATAATTTTATTTTTCCGCTTGTCAGTAGAGGCTTTACAAACAATAGGAATATAATTGAAATAATAAAAGAAAAAAGATTGCTTCCCCATGCCAAACCCTTAGTCGATGTAGCAGCACTTCCTTGTTGCAGCAGGCTATAAGATAGTTGATGTAGCAGCACTCCGCTGCGAGTCAGGCTATAAGATAGTCGATGTAGCACAACCCGCTGGCAAAAATATAATTATTTTAAGCTGCGTAACTGTAGCTTTACCTTAATATGTATATAATAATTATTAATTTATTATATACAATAATGTTATTATTGTATATAATAAATTAATAATTATATATACACATTTAACTATATGTGACATAAGTTTAATTTATATTGTGAGGAACTATTATTTTATTAAGTTTCACAGAGACACTAACAAATTCAATTTTTTACTAACTCGTTATTATTTTATTACTATCTGAATTACTAAAATTAACTTCTATATATAATATTTCAAGCGCTTATTTCCATTTTGGTTTCAGAGAAAGCACAGGTCGGCAAATTCGGCACTGCCGAAATTAACAACTATTCATCAGCCGAAATTATCTCCTTAGAGCACTCCTTGGGGAAACTTTTATATCTTGTAAC